TGGACACAGGAAACAGAGAGGAAGTAGGACAACGGTGCACTGAGGGGATGGCAATGGATGAGTTGAACAAAATGTGGACAAACTGCTAAATATAAAACTGATCATCTGCGCTGTAAGCCTTCCTCCAGTTGAGACACACACACACACACAAGAACTGATGGTACGGAAAGAAGAAATTCAAACCGCACTAGAGACAATAACAACTCGCACACCCCCACGGCTGTCGAGGTGATTCCGATACGCAAGAGCCCAGAGTAGAGCTGCTGCATCGTTTCCAAGGCTGTACGTTTTTATGAAACCATATTAGCTTGCCTTTATTCCCCAGAGGGGCTGTCACTTTGAACGGCTGACCTGGCAGTTAAGCTCAATGCTTAACCCACTGTACCCCGGGCTCCTTTTGCCACGGATAAGACACGTAAGGACCGATGGTATGCCAATTGAGATGTTTCGCCAAACGCATGCGTTGCTATGAGCACTCACTCGCCTATGCCAAGAGACCTGAAAACATCTGCCAGGCCAACCAACTAATAGAGAACCATATTTATACTATTGCAAAGAAAAGTGATTCAACAGGATATGGACATTGTCTAACAACATCAATCTCACATCCAAGTAGATTGTGGCTCTAGAGAGTGAAAAAAAAAATGGTTGTAGCAGTACACCAACTGAGAACCATCAGAAATCTAAGGCAGACTAAGAAGAGGACATGAAGTAAAGGAAATCATTGCTGACGTCAGATGGAGCTTGGCTAAAACCAAGGCACACTGGGAAGACGGTTCACTGTGTTTCATTGACTATGCAGAGGCAGCCAACAGTGTGGATCCTAGCAACACTGGAAAGATAGCAATTCTGGAAGGCTGTATTCAGACAGAACCTGAACACAGTGCCTGCAACCACAGGCTCTCAACCCCAGCAATGACTGTGAGGATGGTGCCGGGCTGCGCAGTGATTCATACTGCTGTGCACAGGGTCACTGTGCTCAATAGCACCTAACAACAGCAATCGTCATTTTATCGCCTAAAAAGTCCTAGTAACCTAGGCACAAACTCTCATTCTAAGACAGTGAGGTCCATGGGCACATTTGGATGAACTGTCCTTCTGACACTGTAGTTAAGTCTGGAAAGAACACAAAACCAGCGTCTCCAGCACTGCCCTGGTTTCATGTTTATTGAGACCCCAGCAGGCCCTTCTGAGGGTGGGGTTTCATTGTCTGTTTCGTGGCTGGGAGAAAAGAAGTGTGAGTGAGCAGAGGTGGGGGCCAAGGAGAAGCAGCACACGGCAATCTATAACCAAAAATTGGTCAGTGAAAACCTTATGGGTCAGATAAGAGAGTGAGTAGTGTCCAACCCGCTTGGCTTTGGAACAAAGCTTCCCAAGCTCCCTTGTCCTGCTGCCACCTTTCCGGAAAAAAATGACTCAGCACCCAGAGGCCATGAACATCGTTCGTGCTGTAGCCCCCAATTCCAGGACAGAGTCTAGGTCTCTACTTCTGCAGCCTCCCGGGATCGCTCCAGCACCCCACGGGGGCAGTATCACCCACTTTGGGGAAATGCTGACCCACAGCCTCCCATTTCCACAAGTTCCCACAGTAGACAATCGTTGGCAGGGGGTGGGGCGCGGCAGGGTAAGGGGATTAAATGTGCATATTTTAAACAGTGGCTTCTCTCTCTCTTTAAATATATATATATTTTTATATATATATAAAAAGTGTCCTATCTATACACACACACATAGATATAAAGTGGTAATGAATTATTACTTTAAGCTATTTAGTGTGATTTGGCCATTTTTTCAAATAAACTAGATCAGGAGCAGGGAAACATCTGGCAAGCGGGCATGAAATCATCAATACCAGCTAACATCACACGCCTCACCAAGGAGAAGCAGTTCCAGCCAGACATTAAGCCACAATTAAGGTGAGTTAATTAAATATTTGACCTGGATGGTACGAGAATGACATCATAAATATCCAAAAAAGGTTCTCCATCCCCGAAAGAGATACTCTTGACACCTATGAATTCTGTTCCTTTGTGGAAGACACAGGAGGAGCACGTCGAGCGCGGGAGGTGGGGGGGGGCACCCCCACCCCAGCCCCCCGCTCGATTACTGCAACGTGGTGAAGTGTGTGTTACTGGAAGCTAGGTCACTAGTATTTGAGCCATGATGGGCAGGGGTTAGCAGAACTTCAGATTAAGGCAGCCTAGGAAGAAAGGCATGGCGATCTATAACCAAAGATTGGTCAGTGCAAACCTTGTGGGTCAGATACGAGAGGGAGTATTGTCCAACCCGCTTGGCTTTGGACCCTCACCAGGAGGGTCGAGTGGAGGAAACAGACCACCAATGTGAGGCCGACGTGGGTGAGGGAGAGCCTCGGTGAGTGGACTGGCTCAACAGATGGGCTCGAGCAGGCCAGTAAGCCTGAGGACACTGCAGGATAGGTTAACATTCTCTTCTGTGTACAGAAGGTTGCGGGAGTAAGAGCTGACTTAACAGCAGCAATCGACTTACCGAACATAAAGATGCTGGACAATTGCTCGTTTACACTTGACCATCTGTGATAGTCAAGTCAACTTGGTCAACGTGGTTGGGCCAGGATTCTCAGTGGTTTGGCAGTGAGGTTACCCCCCCATGAGGTGACCTAACATAATGTAATCATGTCCATAGTGGGATCTGCTATGAGCAGCTCACCAGTTGTAAGACTGAAGTAGGAGACAACACCACTCAGATGACAGCCATGATACAATCAATTGAAAGGCAGTTTCCTTGGGGTGGGGGGCAAGTGAGGGGTGGCCTGCTCCCAATATATGTGGAAGCTGTAAAAAAGCTTGCCTGATTTTTGCTGGGTCTGGATCTTGCATCTGACTCATTAACCTCACGCCTCTTCTTTGGACTTGAGTCAATGGCCTGCTCTATTGCCTGCCTATCATAGGACTTTGTGGGTGGCCTGCCATCTGACCTGCCGACCTTGGATTCATTCACGCCTACAGCCACTAGCCCGTTGTCTTTCTGACCATCTTGAGTTCATCAGCTCCAGGGTAAGGGGGTCCGGAGAAGCCTCCAGCCTAACCTCTGACCCAGGGTCTTGGAACCTGCTCAGACTTACTCTTGCTGCTTCTACAACAATGTGAGCCACTTCCTTAATCTTAAATTCTCCTTAATCTTAAAAACATATATAAGCTTCACTGGTTTTAGTTCTTTAGACATTATCTAAGTGGTCACATTGATAGCACAGGAATGTTTTTAACCCACAGGGTCAGATGGTTAAGTCCTCTATTTCTTAAGAACTTACTTTTAACTCAAGAAGAAAAAACACTTTTCCTGTAAACCCGACAGTAATCACACACAGTGGTACACAGTACACAGTAGGAGTTCAATAAGTATCTGTTATAGGAATGAATGAAGGACCATATTTTGTTTGGTTTAGAAATCCCACTGGAAAAATCAACCATATCTGGACATAGTCAACTCACCATATCCCTCCTATTTCCAATATTTCGGTCTCATCTACACTATCTCCAATATTCATCCTCACGGATATAAAATCCAATCCCATTCAGAGCAAACCATGCATAAAAATTATAGAGATGCAGAGTCTAACAGACCCTTGTTATGTGCTTTAAACACAATAAAGAACAAAGTCCTTGCTAACAGAACACCTTACAGCGGTGCGTTGCTCTTTTTCTTTGCCCAGTAAAGTATTGGCTGCCTCGATGTCAAATTCTCGAGGGACTTTTCAAAGGTTATTCCTCGTGCCTTGAGAGATCATCATGATGGCTTTCTAGACATGTTTTGTTCACCATACCAGTTATATTATTGATTGATTTCACAGAGTAAAAACAGTTTGCAGCAAATAAGAAAGCGCAATAAACTTTTGGAAAAGGAAATAAACCCAGGAGAAAAGGGGACTTAGTTCATAAATCAAACCTCATCTTTTAAACGCTTTTCTGCCCCATCAGGCTCCAGCCAAAGGGAGTCACGGCTGCCTCTCGCTCCCTTTTCGTGGCTCGCTCGGTGCCCTGTGTGCCGTCTCAACGCATGGAATGCTTGTAGGGAGCCTTTCTCCCACTAACCCACTTCCAACGGTCAAATCCTACCCCATCACATCCACAAGTCTTCCTGGAACTCTCGGCTAGAGGAAATCTTACTGCAGCAATTTACCAAGCGTCCTTATGATATTTAGCATGGTCCACATGGTGCCAAACACCCAAACCAAACTCACTGCCATTGATTTGGTTCCAATTCCCAGTGACTCTAAAGCAGAGGCTCTCAACCCGTGGGTCACGACCCCTTGGGGGGAGGGTGTCAAACGACCCTTTCACAGGGGTCGACCGATTCATAACAGTAGCAAAATCACAATGATGAAGTAGCAATGAAAATAATTTTAGGAAGAACTGTATTAAAGGGTGGTGGCATTAGGAAGGGTGAGAACCACTGCTCTAAAGGATAGTGTCGAACTGCCCCAGTGGGTTTCCAAGGCTGTACACTTACATCCTTACTTTATACTTTGAATACATACTTATGTGTACACGTACCTCGGAAGAAATACAGATATACAGTTACTGGTAAGTTACTTATATTCAGATAAGTACAGTATCTACAGTAACTTTGTTTACATTTGTCATCTCTTCTGCATCACTGTTAACGTCCATGGATGGACTTGATGCTGTCTCATCTTTGCTCCCTCCAGCGAGGCCTAGCTTAATGTCTGTCTTTCTTGCTCTCCAACTGTCCCAGTGGTCATGTCGAGCCACTTCTCGCCCATCTAGCTCTGTGCCTTTCATAGCAGGTGAAGATTCAACGAAGGAGCATAGGTAACGAGTTCCTATCACAAACTGCTTTGCATCTGACTTGCAAAATGAAATGAGCAAAGCTTGGGCTACGCTGAAGCCACCAAGAGCTCAGTCAACTGCAGCACGAACGGACTCTGCTCTCCTCCCCTCGCCACACATTACCCAGCAGTCCTCCCGGAGGGAGGGAAGGAGGGCGTGACCCCCACTCACAGTTAAGTGCCCTTCGTGATGGTCTGGGAAGTGAATGAACAAGTACTCTGTAGCCACCAGCTGCATTATGGAGTCACCCAGAAATTCCATCCTCTGATTGTGGCCCCTGAAAAGAAAAACAGCAACGTGAATTGATCAGTAGGTATGCGTGAATTACAACAAACAAGACCCAGGCGCATCTACAAGTGCACCGTGTTCCTGGTGCTTTAAAGCATAAGGCTAAGCACCACCTTTTTACCGTCCCTCAGTGGAGACGAGATCGGCGCTTCCACTGAAGGCTGAGCTTCAGAGAAGAGTACAGAGAGCACGATTTGAGAATTAAACACGAGGGTTGGGCTGGTAACTGGAAGGCCAGCAGTTTGGACCCACCCGGTGCTCTGTGGGAGAGAGAGAAGACGTTCTGCTCTTACAAAGATCTGCAGGGCGGGAAGCCCAAAGGGGCAGTTCTACACTGTCCTACAGGGTCCAGTGAGTGGGGATTGATGTGAGGGCATTGAGTTTCGTTTTCTGGTTTAAGATTGGTGATCAGAACCTGGTTAGACACTGAGGAGGATCTTTAATACAAACAGGAACAATACACTTATCGTAAAACAAATCTTCTTTGTTAAATCTATACTTTTCGATTGGAATATACACACCATCACTCAAATCTGGAATCCAGTTTAAGGATACTTTAAAAACCCATCCTAAACATCTTTAGATTTGGAGAGTATAAATATGCAACTTGGGAAGAGCCACAAAATATTTAAAATAGAAAACAACAGAGAAATAAAACATTTAGTTAATCTCTACATTATTTTATTAGTTGAATTTCAAACCCTGCACTTGTAGCAGTGATCAAACAGCTGCCAGGTGGTTTTTATAAATAAAGTCTTATTGGCACTCAGTCCTCCTCCGTCATTTAAACTGTGCTTCTGTGCTCCTATGGCAACGTTGAATGTTTGCAAGAAAGACCATTACACCTCCCCCCTGCCTGGGAACATTTAACATCTGTCCCTTTACAGAAACTGTGTTTACTTCTTCCTCATTTCCCCTCTGCTGGTGCCAAATGGACTTCCAACAGCATCCCTGCTGGTCCACACAGTGTCTGGCTGCTCATCGGGCTCCCACGGGGACGGCCCTGGAGATGTGGGAAATCTCCAAGGCTTCGAAGGACAAGTAGCAGAGGGTTGGGCCGGTCTCATCTAAGGGGTCACATTGGGGCCACGACAGTCCGTCTAACTCACAGGGTCAGATGGTTAAATCCCACAGTTCTCAAGGTAAAGGCTCGGGCCAGAAGTCTCACATGGGTGAAGAGGACCCCAATAGCATCTTCAAACTCAGTAAGCTTCTGCAGAACGGGAGACGTCTCGACAAGCTGTCGGTCAGTGTTCGGCTCTTGCAGCTACAGGAAAACAGAAATAAATACAAACCAGGGGGTACAGTTTTAGCTACATCAGAAAGGCCCGGTTTTAGGAGAGAAAGTGTTTTGTAAAATTCCTTTCCCATGGGCAGAAGTTCTCAAATGCCAATAAGGCACGGAAGCGTCTCTCTCATCTCTTACAACGGCAAACAAACCTAATATTTAAAGAAGGCTCAAATAACATTTTCCAATCTTCTATCAAATTTCAGGGCCAAGTACTGTACACAGGTAGTTCAAGATTCCGAGTAGTATACTAAGTCTCCGAGGAAGATGCAAACTGAAGAACAGCTGCTGGAAAATATATCTATCTACCAACGCAGGACTCCCAAGGGCTAGCGTTCATCAGAAGGCATGGGGGGCTTGTTCCACACAGATACCTGGGACTCTCCCCGGAGCTCTTGATTCTGTATGTCTGAAGTGGGACCTCTGAGAATCCGCCTTTCTGACAAATTTCCAGCAAATTCAGATGCTGCTGCTCTGAGAAGCATCCTTTGAGAGCAGACCCCCGCATTTTGTCAACCTGACCACTGGCTGTCTTGTGGGGACCAACCAATCTGGCAAATGAGTGTCATTAAATTGGAATCAGCTGGCACTGGGGCTTCTTCTACAAGTAGGTGTTCCTGAGCAAGGCTGCTTAAATTGTGGGCCGAGAACCGATGTGGAAATAATAACGCGTGGGACAGGAACAATTTGGCAGCAATAAAAGGTCTAGGAAGACGCCAGCAACCCAAAGCTCATTTGAAATCTAGCGCATCGTGAATCTGAGGTGCTTCCGGCAGCACTTGCCTACGACGTAATTTCTCAGGAGAACAGAGACCAGGAGTAGGAAAGTTCAAGCAGCATAGCCCAGGGGACAAGGAGTCTTTAACAACCGGGAGAGAGCAACGAGGAGGAGTATCGTTAACATGAACATTGTCAAGCAACTTTAAGGGGAAATTGAAATGATTCTTTTTTAATTAAAAGTTCAAAGTGCACTGAGTTAATGCCAATCATTACTGAGAGTTTGTCCTCTGATGATTACTCTTACAAAGTTATGTGTATATATTTTATATACACAGAAAATATTATGCATGATACACGTAAGAGGAGCCCGGTGATCAGCGGGTTTACCATTGGGCTTCTGATCCAAAATCGGTGGTTCTAACCCACCAGCTGTCCCGCAGAAGAAAGATAAGACTCCGGCCAAAGAGGGCTGCCAGGAGTCACAATCCCCTCAATGGAAGTGAGCATCGCTAATCTGGCTGTATAGTGTGTGCGTATAGGCTCAGAAAATCTCATGATCTTTTCATTCCATCTTCCCACACACCTTTAGAGGCGTTCCCATACACACATACACGAAAACCTCTAAAGTAGAAGGGAACTGAAAGAAACCTTTAAACTGGGGAAAAGGGTCTCACCATGCAAAAATCCTTCAGACTTTGAAATCATAAGGAAAAAGTCCCCACACTGTACTGAGTCTCTCATTTCAGTACTGCGCTTCCTGCAGCCTGGGTCAAGGCTCTCAATGTCTAAGTCCCCAAACTCCCAAGCTCACTGCCACCACCCACTCAATTCAGACCACAGCGACCTTGAGGTTATAGGTGACCAAGGCTATTTGAGTCCTTGTTCTACTTTTTCAACAAGCCCAGACTTGGTTTCCACATTTTGCCCCTGTAACAGTAACCCATCGGCAATCAGGGCTCCTTCGTATGCTTTCACCGTCCCGTTTCTCTGGGCCTCACTAGGCAACCATGACGAGGAGGCCCGTGGCTCCGCCCCGGCCCAGGCCGAGTAAAAACAACACACGTGTTTACATGACTGTTTCAAAGCTGTCCAGTTCCAGCCCCATAACGTGCGGTAACGCCCTGAAGTGGGTCCAAGGACACAACCGGGAGGGGGAGGGGAGAGGAAAACAAAAGAAACAGGCCACCAGGAGCTGTGACACTCCCAGACTCCGGCGGGCAGACAGACAGACAGACAGACAGACAGAGAGCCGGGAGGGTCACACTTACTTGGAGTGGGTGGAGAGGATAATTGAGCCAGACTTCTCGCAGGTCCTGGAACAAGGAGTGATGCCTTTAATGCCCGAGGGGGACCATTTAACACACTCTAGAGTACTAAATAAAATGTCATTATTTGAAATACTGGACGATTTCAGATGCTGACTCCACTTATTGCAAATTCAATAGTGCTAGCACATGGGTTTTTTTTTTAAGTGTCTTCACCACGCAAACTGACCATAAACAACATCTCAGTGCCGCGGAGCTGACCACAGGGCACACAGTACAAGTGCCGTGGGTTTCCAAGGCTGTGGTGCTCTGCGGTAGCAGAACACCTCATCTTTCTCCCGGGAGCGGCTGCTAGGTTTGAACTGCTGACCTGGAGTTAGCAGCCCAGGCAACAGGATAGGCCCCTCAATCAAACTACTTACAGTGATCGTAATTATACTATTAAGCTTGCGGGTCGGGGGAAAACCATCCCCATTCCCAAGAGGTCAAAGACACCGTATAAATGAAAAACTACCAACTCTATTTAGGTAATCTAATACATTGGATTAAAGAAACCCTGGTGGCATAGAGGATAATGATTACGCTTTGGGATGCTAACCCCAAGGTTAGCAGTTCGAAACCACCAGCCACTCATGGGGAGAAAACCAGGGCTTTCTACTCCTATAAGGAGTCAGTCTTGGAAACTCACAGGGACAGTTCTACCTATGAGTGGCATTGACGCGCTGGGAGTTGAATTTGACTTCGGTTGAATACATGGGATCAAGAGCAGCTGTTTTAAACGAATCTCTTAGTTCACCATTCCCCAGAAATAGGCATCAACTGTGCCTTTTGTAAGGAAAACTTATCCACACTATCCTTTAATTTAGGACTCAAGTCACCATCGCGAGAGCCTCTGTATTAAGACAGGAATAGAGAACTCTACCGAGTGCACATGCTATCACCTTTATGGAGCCACACTTCCATTGTGAGTCAGTTCAGGCATTTGCATGAAACATCAGAATGAATGGACGTTATGGAAAACCGCCAGCCTGTTACTTAAGCCACTGATCTGAGCTGAGAAGCAGTTACAATTAGCACGTCTTCGGGATAACCTCGTGGAGCCGCTGCCTGATCCTAGCCGTACTGCTGGGTTTTAAAGTAAATTATTTTTAAAATTTTAAATAGGGGAGAGTTGACTTTTAAAAAGCTTTTGTAGGGGGGGTATGAGGAAAGTTTATTATTACTTGTGTACATGTGGTAAAGTTCAAAACAAAAACTTCTTGCATAATTTGTGGCTTAAATACTTTATTTGCTTTTTGCCTACATTAAATAAAAAGGGTGCTTACTTATCTATGTTCTTTTAAGCAGAAGCAAGGTAAGCACAGGCTTATCCGAGCTTACTGATCTGCAGTGAACACTTTCACATGTGGTTGAAAAGCAGGTGAGAGCAATTTCCCATGTGGTAAAAGACACGTGAAATCATTCACTACAAATGAGTAAGCCACGCCCACCTGTGCTCACTCCCTGAGTCCTCTGTCCCAGTCAGGCTTGTAAGTCTGAAGAGGGTCTGACGCTGCAGGTAGGGGCTGACGGGGTACGAGAGAGATGGATGCAGGCCAACTCCAGAGCAGAATCTTTGATGAGGAGAAATTGTTCACTGCAGTTGAAGTAAGCCTGTGCCTACCTTGCTTATTGGGTAATTCAGCACTGCTTTTGAGGTATTTTATACGCATTTTTTTCGACCAATTCAACCATCTCTCTCTTGAAATCTGTGTGACATGAATTACAATGCCTATCGCTTCCTGCTTGCCCCTGCCCTTCCCTACACCCGAGGGGAAGCTTCGGCCTTTGAGAAAGGGTGCTGCCTTCTGCCTGCTTTTCTGAAATAAGTGCGAGGAAGGGCTGACCTCACGCACACAACCTTTTTATGTGACACCTACTCCGTCATGGGTTACTAAGAGGGATCCGATGCCATTCCTGAGTTCACGGCCTCAACGGAGTAAAACGAAGTATCTTACGCTGGGATACGCCCTGTAATCGTGATCTACACTAAGTGCTAGGAAACTTCCGCTTGGGGATTCAGATAAAAGCTTCAAAAATGAGGTGACTCTGCGGATGTTCCCTGAAAAAGGAGAAAAGGATTGCAAATCAGCAGCAGATGAGAATCAAGAGCAGGGGAACCAGGGGATAGTTGGGCGTACGAGGTCATGGACTTGGGTGCAGGAGCCGTGGAGTCACTCACTGAGTTGTGTTCTATTTTTTCACCCCACACACAAGGCTGTAAAGGGGGCTCGGTGGAAAGGAGACTGGGAAAGCCAGTCTACAAAAACCGATTACATGCTCTGTTGTGCAGTCTAGATTTTTGGTGGAAGAGGAATAGATCAGAGAAAGATTTTAAGCATGAAAGGCCACAATCAAATCACATTAAAAAGATAATGCTAAATGTAGTGTGAACATTGGGCCAAGGGGCTGGGGAATGTGACCAGTGAAGGAGTGCAAATGGGAGAGGAGGAAGACCAGGAGTAAAGCAGGAGGATGGCCCAAGGTGAGCCATTCAAGAAAGATTAGGGACAGGCCTGGAAGGATTTTGCAATTGAATGGATAGGAGCCCTGGTGGCCTAACTATGCATAGGGCTGTTAATCGCAAGGTCAGCAGTTCAAACCTACCAGTGGCTCTGAGGCAGAAAAATGAGGCTTTCTGCTTCCGTAAGCTGTGCAGCCTCAGAAACCACAGGCAGCAGCAGTTCAGGTCTGCCCCAGGCGGCAGCTATGCGTCAGAACTGACGTGATGGCAGCGGCGTTAGTGTCTGGGGCTTTGCAACGGCATGAACATGGGGAGCAGACTTAGGGATGGACACGAGAACCCCAAGGATTCTGGTTTATAAGATACAAGGAAAGGAGAAGAATTCCGTTTGTGGAGAGAAAGTGATGGGTTCAAGTTTCAGCTAGCTTGGACGCAAGGAGCCTGTGGCGTGCCTGGTGGAGCAGTGCTCATCTTAAGGTCAGGCATTCAAACCC